CTACTGGAACTCTGTTACGCCCCCCCCCCCCCTCCTTCCCGATCCCTGTTGCGACTCCCCCCCCGATCTTTGCTTGCTCTTGTTCCTCCTGCTTGTTGCAGGTTTTGACGCAAAAGGTCCTGGCCTTTCACGCTGATTGGCTACGGGACCACCTGCTCTCGAGGTGGGCTACCAACCAAGAGTCGTTTGACCGCCCGTGAAGCTCGAATCATTCAGTCTCCTCTCTCCCGCTCTCTCTCTCTCCCGCTCTCCACCTCTATTTACCTCTCTCTCTCTGTCTCTCTTTCTCTCTGTCTCTGTCTCTGTCTCTGTCTCTCTTGGCTTGATTCGGATCATGCATTAAGGCCCTTGTTTGGGTGTGGGTGTTTCTGCTTTTAGCGGTGTCGTGCTGCCACTCACACGATCCCCGTTGTCGGAACAATTCGTCTGCAGGTGGTGGAGGATATATTTATTTTCGGGTGATTTGAAGTAGCTGCTGCTACTGCCAAAAAATCTTTCTCGGCGTACAGTACAGTACTTTAAGACGAACCACCACTTGCCCTTCCGTCGGAAAAGCCTCCTTGGGGCACACAACGTTGAGGGGTTCCGCAGCATGCGTAGTATGGCCTCCCTCAGCGTTGTCTTTTGTTTTGGCAGAGGCAGCGGGCTTGGAGAGAGGCACATCACACCAACAGCACACGCTCGTTCCTAGTAGACACTTACCAGTGACGATGCATGTGCTGCTGTACACCTCCTCTCTACACTAATGTGCTGGAGGGCGTGTCGCCTCTACTGCCGCTTAGCTAGTGGTGGAGGAAGCGAGAAGAGAGGAGGAACGCTTTTAGTAGGGTCTTGTTCATGACCTCGTCGGCATTGGTATCCGCCCCCCCTCCCCCGCCCAAACCCACCAATCTTGTCGTCGTGGTTGTTCCTTTGCAGAGCAAGAGCCGTGTGGATCTACACCCTGCTGGCGTGCCTCGAGAAACCCTTAGGAAGCGGTGAGAGGCTTGTCGCTTTTCTTATCTTTCGTGAGAGGCATGTCGACTGCTTATTATGTTTTTGCTCTGCTTTCGCGGCCTTTCGATATTTTTGGACGTCTGTTTGCTCTGTTTTGGGGCTATCTTTCTCTCGGTGCGATCGGTCCACCTACGGTAGACAGACACAAGATGCCAAGCACCCCGGGGACCGATTCTTAACAACTCGATTGCTCCAAAGCAGAAATAGCGGCGGTGCCGAAAACGGCGGCGTCGGACCGTCTCGTCGAGAGCTTTCCGAAAACGGACCACATGATTTGTTGCATCCTTTTTTGTCGTGGAGTAATCGAGCTTTGAAATCGTTCCGGGGAGTGTTGTATCGTGTGTCATGTCATGTCACCTACGGTACTGATCCCTTGCTCAGTGTTGTCCTCCCTATATTTGTCTCGCTTCCCACAAAAAGTAAATGTTTTTTTGTCGGCAAGTGTGTGTGTTATCGTCTCGTCTATTCTGGCGCCAGTCTGCAGGGCTTTCAGTTGGCAACGGACTAGTTTTGGCTGAAGCTCAATCGCCTCGTACTGCTTACTTGGAATATTTTGAAGTAATTGGTGTCCCTGCTGTTGTTTATTCTTTGCCGCCCCGACCACGTCGTCTTCATCTCTCTATCCCTGGGATGCCGATCAGAGACGGCGGCGTTGGTGAGGGAGATACTCCGGAGATGTTGCTCTCAACGGGCAGAAGTGGTGAGCGTTTAGCTCCTTTGTTTCCCTGTCCGTCTCGGGTGTCGTATCTTGTACCTGGTATATGGGTGGGTTGTATTGTGTGGTATGCGGTACGGTACACCGGTCACCCACGTCTTTCGGATCACCTCGGGCCAAACATACCCCGATCACCTATGGCGTTTAGGTCACCATGGAGCAAACTCTCTCTCTTTTCCCCTCTCCTCCTCCTCCTCCTCCTCCTCCTCAATTCCTGTAGAGTTGTTGCGAACTGCACCAGCTTAGCCAGAGTTATCGCAATCAAGTATCGTAGAGCGTGATGGGATGGAGGTAGTGCACCCTGTTCTTCGAGTGGTACACAGTCAGAAGAACTGCAGGATGGGGGGGTATATAGGATGGAACCAGACCAAACTCCATGGTGAACCTGGTGCTTTTTCCGGCAAACGTGTTGCAGAGCTCCCTAGTGCTAGTGCTCTCCCATCCGTGACGAAGCTTCGATAGGGCGTCGACCAATCTTTATTTTCGTGATTCTGGATGCCATGTCAGTGGTATCGTCACAGAACTGCCTGTTGGTCAGTGCATCCACTCAGAACCCTTTTCAGAACCTGTTTCAATTTGTGCCTTGGTCATTTTCAAGCTTTTCCCCTTTCCTGTTTTTGTTTTCAGGAGTCGCCGCTAGACGACAACTTGCCCGCGCTCAACATCATCGCGGCCATCACTGGAAGATTTTTCCAGCAGGCGGAAGTGGCATGATAATAGACCTATGCCAAGCCGCAAAATCCACGAACCGGAACGGGAGTGAAAAACGCGGTGGAACTACGAACCGACAAGCAGACCAACGCTAGGTGGGTTACGCCGCCTGGTGATGCAACACCGTCAAGAGCAGTACCAACACCAGTAAAATCTTGTGTCTGCTCTTGTGTGTGCTATGGTCCCATTTGACGTCGGCTCGTGTGGGTGTGTTTTTCGACGCACCGGTCGGAGTTCACGCGAGATAGGAGGCCACACGGACAGGATGTTTGAAACGTTCATTTCCAGCTGGGCTACTTGAGTGACATGCGGGTCATCCGCCATCGCTTGGGCGGTTGGTAGCGAGTAGCAAGCAGCATGTGTTCCGAATCCAACGACTGTGGGTAGGCATGGTCTCGTGTGTGCAGCATTTAACTAGTGCTTTTTGACCAACATTGGAAGTCGTGTGCACCATTCAACAGGGCGCAAGCAGCGAATATCTTCGAAAAAGTACTGCTGTACAAGTACCTGTATCATCTTTGTTGGAGGAATCGAGTGCACGCACCATTTCAGCAGGGTGCAAGCAGCGAGTTCCTCCACAATGCCTGTTTCATTTTTCGCGAGTCGGTAAGAGAGTGTTCGATGACGTTGGACGCGGTCGATGAATCCTAGAGGGTAGGATAAGGTAGTAAATGTGTTGTGGTAGCCCGTAGGGTGATCACGACATTTGCAGGCTTTTTTTGCCTGGTGTTTTGTCCAGTGTACCCCTAGATGGATCAGGATCTTTTTCCAAGCAAGTTCGCAAGAACCGATGATACGTCTGCCAAGCGTTGTGGCTTAGAATAGAAGCCTCTCAAAGCTCGATGCGTATCTGATGTACCGCCGGAAATGGTATTTCCGATCCGAGCTAATTTGTTGTAGATGTTTCCTTATATATCTATCAATCAAAGGGGAAGAGTCAAGTGACCTCTCTTTCATTTTTTCCTGTACGCGTGTGGTAGCCATAATAAATAGCAGCCACGGGAACTCTTCCTGTTTGGCCTTTTAGAGACTACAGCAGTAGGGAGAACAGGGAGAAGAGGAGATAGTGGTGGCGCATGATACTGCCGTTGCTGGCAAGACGTGAAGGCAGGTAGGTGTGGTCTGGGCCGTTTAGTTGCTCCTCTTCCATTCGAGGCAACGATTTTGTCTTGGCTTCGCCTAGCCTTATCTCGTTCGGCACGGGGTAGCAACAGGGGACGAGGCGCGGGCAGATACAAATCTCCTTGATAATGAAAACATAAATAAAATTGTCTCATTCGGCGTTGTTGGGCAGAGCAGCAGCAGCGTCCGTCTGCCTCATCAACGACTGACTCCGAACCACATACATACGCAGTGTGTTGAGAGTGTGCGGTCGTCATCCAGGATGTGTGCCTGTCTGCGAAATATCCTAGCTAGAAATGTTTGCCTGTGTCTGTTTCGCTGTATTCATTCGCGGTTTGGCTCGTTCCTGCCATCAAGCAAGACCACCCACCCCCTCGTCTTGTCTCTGAAGCTTCAGTCGCTATTGGTTGGCCCATCATGTGAGACAGGGGTGTTTCACTGTAGAAGGAACCGATCGTAGACCGGAACGTTTTCTTCGTTAATTTGGAAGCAACAAACGGTCCCATTCATTCCCCGCCCAAAGCTTTGTCCCTCTCCTTACAGACTCTACACGCTTCAAACAGGATCAACACGTCTCTCCCACGTTTCTAGCAGAATTTCAGCCAATCTTATCAGGAAACAGCACGGCAAACAGGTCTCACCCATAACGGGCAGCTCCATACTAATCCACACAAATACTTGCTGTGCCCTTTTTGTAAAACGAATGTAGTAGCCATTGTCTCTCACCTTTGCCGCGCCTTCCGCACGCTTGACCCAAGTTTCCACGGAAAAAAAACTTATATATGGTGTCGATTCGGCGACCCGTCTCTCGCGAACAAAGCCAGAGAGGACAGACAACAAGTGGATCAAAGAGCACACGAAGAGATCTGGATGGAGATCATCCCTGTTGATGAGGGCACGATCTCCCAAATCTCCGAAAAGCGAGTGTCGTTCGAGGCAGATTCTCTCCTTGAGGTCGACGAGAATTACGGCTGACTTTGGTGGAAGAGAACCTGGGTGTCCCGCGACTCGAACCAAGGGGTGGGTCCTTATCCTCGTATTTATTGTTTTGTGTTTCTTTCATCATGTTGGTGGTCGGTGAACGACTGGTCGCCATTCCATCCATCGGCAAGGCCATTCCAAAAATTAAATATTTCGATTCTCCAAGTCACGCGTCGACTCTGAACGACGAGGAGGGTCGACAGAATAGAGGCAGACATGATCTGACCTCCTAGGCAGACAGACAAACGGTCGCAGTATGTCTGCAGCAGAGACCCACCCCCCATCTCCTGGACGATGCATCATCTTCTGACCCCACGGACCTCCCTGCAAGAAACGAAGGATGCGGTATAACCGTGAATCCGTGGTTTGTGGAAGCGTTCCGGAAATTTCGTGAAAGAGCGGCGAGAGGCAAAAAAGGGTACACGGGGGTATAGCTATATACAGGGTACAAAGAAGAGAGAGAGTGGCAGAAGCTGTTGGGATTCTTGGGAAGCCGAGGACCTCGAAGGGAAAAGCGTTGCATCGCCCGCGAAGGCAGTGCAGCAAAGCAGCAGCGAGATAATAGAGCTTTCGTTTGGGACTTGATCGAACCTGATCGAATTTGGACTAGACACGCCGGAGTGATGAACAACGGCAACAACCTGCAGCAGCAGCAGGGTCAGCGTCCCCCCCAGCAGCTGCAGCCAGCGCAGCCAGCGCAGCCAGCGCAGCCAGCGCATCCTCCACCGCCACCACCGCCGCCTCCCGGTGGACCACCGCCCGAAGCTAACCAACAACATAGCAGCGGCGGCGGAGGAGGAGAAATAGCGGCAGCTCCCCATGGTGGCGGACAGGCAGTAGCGGCGGGAGATCAGCCAGCAGGGGCGGCGGGAAACCAACAGGCGGCGGGACACAACAACGCGCCTCCAGCAGAAGGAGACCAGGACGCGGGCGGAGCCGCGCCAGCTGGGCTTCCTCCCCCCCTCAACCCTGTCCAGCTACTGCTGNGACGATGGCGTTGGCGGTGCCTTCTGCGGTGAGACCGCGCAGCCGCGAAAACGCGGGGGAGCCGCATCAGCAACAACAGCAGCCTGGCCACCTCCCCCCTGGCGGCCCCCAGCAGCAAGGCCAGCCCCAGCCCATCAATCTCCCTCTGGGTGGCCAGATCGTGCTACAGCCCCAGCAAGCGCAAGCTCTGGGCCAAAACATTAACGTGTCGAACGAGGCCCTCAACACTCATTCATGTACAGAAAGAAAGGCCCTTTCACTCAATCAGCTGGGGCTGTAGCACGATCTGGCCACCCAGAGGGAGATTGATGGGCTGGGGCTGGCCTTGCTGCTGGGGGCCGCCAGGGGGGAGGTGGCCAGGCTGCTGTTGTTGCTGATGCGGCTCCCCCGCGTTTTCGCGGCTGCGCGGTCTCACCGCAGAAGGCACCGCCAACGCCATCGTCGGAAAGCTTAACAACGGTCTGGCCGGGCTCCCGCAGCCACAGAAGACGAAAGCGTCAGCGAGCAGCGCCACGAGCGGACATACAGCATCCCGCCCGCGGATAACCGCCGCGCCCGTCGCAAATATTCACTTAGTGGACCTACAGTGCTAGTATGTTAGTATGCAACAACTAAAAACTAAAAAAACATACCATTGTGACACAAGGTACACTGCAAACGGTGAGATCCCCAGGTGCTTTTATTGGACATAAGTCCAATTATGTCCGTCTTCCAGCAGCCTTTGGCACGCCTTGCAGCCGGATATGCCAGCAAAACAGACACTTCTGCTTGTTTTTCGATTGATATGCTCCAGCAATAAGTGGTTCTGCTCCGGGAGCAGGTGGTTCTGCTCGAACATCGCTTGTTCTGCTCAAGCAGATGTTGAAATTGTATCTGCTTAAGCATATGCCCAATCTGCTCTTTTTTCTGCGAGCAGAATGGGCCTACCCGTCGCCCACCAACACGCGGTGGCGACGTTGACCTCGCAAGCAGGACCTCCTCACGTGGGGAACCCCCCACCGCGCGTGTCACTCCCACTGGAAAGGGCAAAAGTGCACCCGCCCGCACTGCACCCTCAACCACGCACAGGTTCACCCCAGCGTCGCCCCCCCCGGTACGCCGCCCGGTCCGCCGCCCACAGCGCTGGCCCGGGCCCCCGCCGCCGCGACCGCCCTTGCTCCTGCCCCCGCCCCTGCCCCCGCCGCATCACGCCCCGTGGTCGCCCGTTACAGCAACAACTGCAGGCCACACGGAGCAGCAGGAACCAACTCCTGACAATATGGGCCCCATCCAGAGGTGGGGCCAACGCGGCCGAGGGGGGCGGGTGGCACCACGGTAGCAGCTTTTGTAGACAGGAGCAGGACCGTGGCGCTGACTTCCCGGGTTGGTGGCACCGAACGTGTTCTACGGTGACAGAAGAAGTACCCGCCCGAGTAAATAAAGTATCAATAGTGAGGAAGGAACATGAAATTAGTGCAGAACCAGAGCTGATAGACCAATGTCACCAAGGCGTAGAACTACCGTGTATGTACTCGTAGAAGTACCAGCCAAAGTAAATCACGCACCAATAGCGATGAACGTGAAGTTTCTGCAGAACCAGCGCTAATGGATCCCTCTAACCAAGGAGATGAACGGCCGTGTGCTAGACTTGGACAAATGAGAGAAAATGACCTCCGGTAACACGGGAGAAGAGAAAAGACCCGGCGTGAACGCTGGAGAAGGCCCCCGTTACAAGGGAGAAGCAGACCCCTCGCGCGAGGGAGAAGACCGCAAGAGTGCTCGACACAATACGTGAATTGGAGACAAAGACCCCTACGGCAAGAGGGACACGAATAGTGACGGGTCGGCAGCCCTGCCACCTCCTTGTGGGAAGCTACTGGCTGAAATGTGGAGAGAACAAAAGGAATGCCTAGCACGTGGCACACGACTTGACGAAAAACGGGAAATCATTCACGAACTTGCGAAGACTGGTAGCATGCTTCTGAAAACAAACGACGGAAAGTTGGGAGATGTCGCGAGGGCAATCGGCGGCACCTTGGTGTCACCGCCGCTAAACCTGAGCGACCTCGAACAACA